GTGGTATCAGGGGCTGGTAGGAGCCACGCATAGCCCATAAGGCTAGGGTGCTTAGGGAGCGCCCATCATACCGGGTGACCACAGGAGTCCAGGAGAACCGCGGGGACAGAGGTCCCGAGTAGCCGTGCCCAGGGAGTCATAGGCAGCCATATACCATCAAGACGTGGCGGGCGAGAATTGGAGGGTGCCTTGGGCCGGCCTGACACGGAGCGAGGGACCTCGAGGAGCACACGGCCCTCCACGAGGACCCCGCCGTGACACACTGCTTTAATGGTGTTGTTGTTTGCACATGTCAGCAGAGTATTGTACCTTAATTCCAGCCGCTTCTGCACATTCAGCGGCGTAATGTGCCTTAAATGACTTTGGGGTGCAGCAAACTAAAACACCTCTGAGGAGTTTTAATTTGCTGCCTTACAGCCACGGAGTGAAGCACCAGCCTCTGTGTGGCTCAGGGCCCGTGCAAGCAGCATGGCAGCAGCCCATGAAGGCAGGCTCCACTGAAGAAAAAAAAAAAGTTAGCCTGATCATTTCTCCTCCCCCTACACCTCCCCTCCGGAGCCCGGCTGCCTACATGAGCTGTGTGGGGACCCAGTCCTTCCCTCCACAGCTGCGGTGCCCCACAGGACCATCTGAGCTGGGTTCCTGTGGGTGGGTGGCACCGCTGTTGCAGAGGGAAGCACCAGCACGCCCCCAGCCCAGGGACCACTCCACCCACCGGCAGCTTGCCCTCCTTGCCCTGCCACCAGAAAGGCAGGTAAGACATAGGTTTACACATGTCATTGGGGGGGCGGGGAGGGTGGTGGTGTTACTTTGCCTTAAACTGAGGCTGTGTTTTTAAAACCTACAGCTTCAATTTAGGGCCCCTCTTTTGTCTACACACACCCTAATACTCTAACTAAAGCATATATCTTGCAATAAGCCTATTTGCATTATGAAATATTGGCAAGTTAAAATACTTTATTATTTCTTAATTACCATTATGAAAGCTTTTTAGCTACAGCAACACAAGAGCAATTACACAGATCCGCACTTACTAAACGGAAGCAGCAATACAACCTGTACTATTTCTGTTTGCACATCACATAACATTTAAAACATTGTCTTTCAAGATTTTTGGAGAGCAAAGTCAATGATGATGTCCTCAAATGATAAGCTATGAAGTTTATCACTTAATGCTTAGTGAAGACAGCTTTTCTTGCAGTGTTGTTGTTCACAGTTCATTCTTGATCTTTTTCAGCTGCGAAAATGACCTTTCTCCTGAGTAACTTATTACCATTAGACTCAAAAAGAGCCACAATAGTGCTTCTACATTAGGGAAAGCCAAGTGAATCTTATCTTGGATGATGACTTGATACAGGTCCGGGTGGCATAAATGTCCTTTATCTGAATCATTTTGCTTGATATAAGCATGGAAATGCTTTATTTCTCCAATGAGGTTAACATCAACATCATCAGGATAGTCTTTCATCAGAAGCTTTATATCTTCACACGGCTGTTTTTCTGAGGCATCTAAATCAACCAAAAACAAAAAAAAACTTTGCAAAATGTTCATATATGACTGCTCTTTTGTTCAAGTTAGTTTCAAGTGCATCCATCATAGGAATAAAGGATTTCACTTGAAACTTGTCTTGGAGAAAGCGCTTCATCAGTATTAGGTGCATCACCATCATTGACTTGGGTTTTTTTCCACATTCTTTCCCTTTCATTCACACACTTGTAGTCTACATCAGGCAGATTTTCTTTTGCTTTGAATTCAATTTCATCAACACTTTCTCAGGTTTCTTTCAAGAAGTGAGTGTGTAAAGCTTTCTACATGGGCTAAGCCTGTGTGAAGCAGCTAGTTTGTTTCAGATTCGGATTCAGCTGATTTGGGGGACAGCGATTTGATTTGGTGATTCGAATCATTGTCCCGAATTGATTTCAGCTGAATCCAATTCAGAGGTTTGGCTGCTGTTGAATCAATCGAATCTCTGAATCACACAGGCCCCATCCCCCACTGGCTCTCCCAGCCCTAGCAATGGCTGCCCTGCCCACCCCAGCTCCTGGCATTTTGAAGAAGAAAAAAAAAAGCTGGGACTCACCAGCTGCTGTCAGGTGGGGAATGATCCCCGCTGCCCTGCACTGCACTGGGGGGCTCTGCCATGAGCCCCCAACCCCTGCCCACTCTCCCAGCCCCCGACCATGGCTACCACCCCGCCCCAGCTCCATCCCTTAAAAAAAAAAAAGCGCTGAACTTACCGGTTCCTGCCCAGGAGGGGGCAAACCCCAATGCCCCCCACTGCCCTGTAATGTGTGGGGGGGCGCGGTCCAAGGACCCAGGAGAACAGCAGCGGGTTGG